TTTAACTAAGGTTTTCTATTTATGCCTTTTAAGCACTTATGCCTTGTCATTTTTGTGTAGGCTATTTTACTTATCCAAATGCCTTGAAAATTTTATGGTAGTCTACTTAGAGTAGTACTATGCTACTGTAATGTTCTCAGATTTTTATGAGCACCATAAATATATGTTGCTGTGTAGCCCTTGTTTAAAATAAAATCAAATGATCTTCTTTAATGCGAGTTTAGTTAATAATGTTCGCTTTGGTGTATCTTTAAAGCATCTTAGTTTGCTGTGGTGATTTGGCATGTTAGTACAGTGGTTGTCGTAGTAGATAGTAGTACATGTTCTTGGATGATGTTGACTACCTTGTAGAAGAGCTTTGCTACTACTATGTCCAATAAGGTTAAACATGGTCATCTACATTTCATGCATCATGATCATTACATGTCATCTCTCCGATGCACCTATGCATTAGCACTTATACATCTGCATCATACAGGATCGTAGGAGGAGTTGCTAGTAGCAGTTAAGGAAGAGCAGACTGGGACAGATCCACAAGAAGTCCAGGCACAGGAGGTGCAAGAGGAAGAGGAGCAAGGAGAGGACTTGCCCGAGTGCGTGGATCATCATCCTAGTTCGTTCGAACAAGGCAAGCCCCGGAGCATTCTAAGTCTCCTACTTTACAAAAGCAATTCTTTCTATCTATATGAGTTATATATTGTTGCATTAAGTTGTAGGAGTTAATTGAAACCGTTGATGCATTTATTACTATCCTTGCCTACCTTATTACCTTTTACCCTGTTAGGTCAGGATCGAATAACTGCTTAGCCCTGCTTAGACCGGTAGCGATCGGTGATTTCCGGTCACCTACTTTTATAGGTGGTTACTGGAAGAAATTAGCTATGGAAAGAATGATATCATGGAATTAACCATGTGTGATGAATAATTGGAGACCGGACAGAAAAAGTTGGAGGCAGCCAGACAAGGTTCTGGGGTGCAGTTAGTTTTCTGTCTGCGTCGATTAAGAACCGATCGATGCTCGTCCCTTTTGTCATGTTGAACGCATGCCTCACATTTAGTTGGCCCAAGGTGCGTCCTGGCGGTCGAGCGGTCCCTGGGTAGTGCGGTCCATGATTGTTATCTCGTGGCTACTTGGAAAGTGCCATTGGTGATCTAAGTGACCCTGACGGGGGAAGCATGGTTTATGTGAGGAATAAATCACCAGCTGGTTAGGAATCGATTCGAATCGCCATCGCTCCTAGATAGTGAGCACTTGACTCGAGCTACGACATCGTAGTAATTATTATGGAACAATGATGGTTATCTGGATGGTATGTGATATGCTAAAGCTAAATTGGTAACTGGATGTTCTTGGTTAATCAAGTGATTGCTATAGTACAGGTGCTTACCTAGATGAATAGGTTATAATAAAGATGATGCAAAGTATTTAAAATGATGTCTTCATGATAACTTATGCTTCTCGCAAACAAGTCAGCTAGCCCACTAAAGAAAGCCTTGCATAATCCTTGGTGTCGCTTTATCTTGGTTTAAGACAGGTAAGTCTAGCTGAGTACCTTCTCGTACTCTGGGCGCTGTTCCCATTGTTGTTGCAGATGGTCAAATGTACTACGGCTATTGCATTAACTGCATGTACCCGACGATGGGTGACAACTAGGACCAAGGGCAAATGGTCACTCCGTATCTCTCATCTGATGTTTTTGTTGGAGATGACTACCTACTGGCATTGTATCTAAACTAAAAGTGTGTGTGGCTTTAAAACTATTTGCTTCCGCTACTTCAGTTTGAACTTGGATTGTAATAACTTTATGTTTAAAACTCTGATGTACCGATCTGTGATTGCGAACCTTATGTAACGTGTGACGGTATTTGCTAAACTTGTACGATCTTGGTTTGTATGTCGATTGGTTTGAAATCCTTCATGGTTTCACGGACTACCGGGTTATACGGGCTTAAGTTTGCTAAATTATCTGATTCGGCGGAAGATTTTCTTACTTAATCTCGTATAATTGGTCGGTTCTATTATATTTTGGACCCTGAATATTTTTTTGGTAGTACAATTTTTTGCACAAATTATTTACGACAATTCTTTACCATACGTTTGGTATGGTAAAAGATGATTATTACCCACAAAATTGTACATCCATAAATAATATGCTCAAAAAATGTATTGCCAAAAAATATTCATGGTCCAAAAAAGTTGTATTTCAAAAAATACCTATGCAATAAAATATCATTGTTAACATGTTGATGGTGCTACATATGAAACAGGGGTAAAATTGTCTTTTCCCCTCATAGTTGATGGTGTTAAAGGCCACCTCTAAGGGCAGTGCTATATAGGAAACAAAAAATGAACCCAATACTATATTGAGAAGATTTTATCTTTCAATGCCAAATAAGGAACCATGTCATATTACGATGCTAAATGGGGAATTTTCTCCTATTTATTTCATTTTCAATCTATGCGCTAACAATTACATGTCTTTATGTTATGTTAATACACCTAACTAAACGTACATGTCAACATGTTATCACACATAACACATAAGTGAATATTAGATCGATCTTCATATATGTACATTATTACGTGACTTTATATATGCATATTTGAGAATATTAAATTATATGATCCTAATTTAATTTTTTGGCTCTTCGTCCTTATTTGTCCGTTTCCATATGTTCGCTTATCCCGATTACGTTTTCGATCCTAGCCTTTCCGATTTCGATCTTATTTCCATTAAAAAAATACAAAAATGAAAACAGTAGGGCGGGGGTGTTGTTCCCTGCTCATTTTCATCTATTTTAATCCCTAGACATGCGAGCTAATTAAGGGTCCGTTTGGTTGGGCTTTTGGCTTTGGCTTTTAGGCGCCAAAAGCCAAAAGCCTAACCAAATGGGTTGTTTTTTGAGGCTGCTTTTTCAAAAGCAACTGCTTTTCCATAGTATATTTTTGAAAGCTGGTTTGACCTTGCTTCTAGCTTTTGGCTTTCTGTTTTTCGAAATTGGTGGAATAAAAAGCTTTTCCATAGTTGTTTCAAGAGAGATAAAGATAGAAGATATATTTTATACTTGTTTAACCAAACAACTTTCAGCTTTTCTACAGCTCATAGCCCACAGCAGCTTTCCCACAGCTTACAGCCCACAGTAGCTTTTTTCCACAGTCACAGCTCAACCAAACACACCCTAAAGCCCCCTTTGGCATGGCTCATCCTAAACGGCTTCACCGGTGAAGCAAAAAAAACTGGTTTTTCCTGGCTTATAGTTCATTTTAACCCCGGCTTACAAAACGGCTTCACGCTACAATGCCTCGATTTACGCAAAATAGATGAAACCGAAGCCGACATAAACCGTGCCAAAGAGGCCCTAAGTCTTCTCAAGGGGGTTTATGCACGCTCACAACCTATAACAGTTTTATGCAAAGCTTCAGATACGATGAACAGTCAATCAAACCTTCCATTTCTAGGATGGGAACGAATGCCCAGTGGAGAGAAAAGCTGAGCCCGAAGTACAACTTAGGCCCAGTTTAGATGCAATTTTTTTTTAAAAAATGAGCACTGTAGCATTTTCGTTGTTATTTGACAATTAGTGTCAATCATAGTCTAATTAGGCTTAAAAGATTCGTCTCGTGGATTTCGTCTAAACTGTATAATTAGTTTTATTTTTTATTTATATTTAATGCTTCATGCATGCGTCTAAAGATTCGATGTGATGGGTAATTAGTTTTATTTTTTATTTATATTTAATGCTTCATGCATGCGTCTAAAGATTCGATGTGATGGGAAATCTTGAAAAATTTGGCAAAACGAAGTGGAACTGAACATAGCCTTAGGCAAATTGTGAACAATGGTTGGCGAGGGCCTGTTTGGTTGGGTCTGGAAAAAATTATCTATACCAGACATGTATTCCAGACATCCAAAGCATCCGATTTTAGACGCTGACGCCAAAATATATTGCCTGTCAAGCATTTGACTGCCAGGCCTCCAATCAAATAGGCCCTTATTCTTCCCCGTTGCCATCACTCCTTGTCAATGGTTTTTGAATCCGGAGCCACAATCCATCGTGTTGCAGATGCAACAAGCAAACTGTTGGAAAAGCAAGAAAGAGCAACAAGCAAACTATTGGAAAAGCAAGAAAGGGGAGCAGCTGGCAGATGATTCTGCACCATATGTTGAGACATTTGACCTGGGGCTTTCGTGTAGGGTCGCTGCCACTTGCAAATTGGAACAGCTGCAACTTTAGTGCATGTTTTAGGATGCAATCAGGCTATGTTTAGGCTCAAGTAACCTAAACTGAAAAAAGGAGAAATTCTTCGACGCTTTCATCTGTACTACTCATTTCTTACTCAATTTTCCAAAAAGGTATAATAATTCCAGGCCTGATCAAAATTAAACTATCTTAAACTTAACTAAATTTATAGAAAAACGATATCAAAATTATCGTCTTTATTAATAATGGCCCCGTTCGCTGGTCTGAAACTTGGCTGAAACTGGCTGATTTTGTGAGAGAGAAATACTGTAGCGGCTGGTTGATGGACAGTGTTTTATGAGAGGAGTTAGCCGGCTGGTCTGGACCATCCAGACCAGCGAATGCGCCCAATATCCGTCTGAAAAGATCCTACAAATAAACCGTTTAAGGCATCAGCCTTAGCAAAAACGTTGTTCCGTGAACAATAATATTTACTCCGCCTGTAAAAAATGAACGTCAACCCACATTGGACAAAGAGTCAAAGATCGGTAGTAAAAGAATTTGCCCGAAGAACATATGAATGTTAATGATAACACTTCTTTTAGTGTACATACTGCACGTTCTTAGTGTACTTGTCGCCGTAATACTACAAGCTTATCGTTATCGCCCTTAACTACATCTTACACGACCAAGCATAAGCAGGGGCAACACGTGGAAAGCTGAACTAATACGTACTACTGAACCGACGCACCGAAGTATAATACGTGTATATGTGGGCTAGTAGCGAGGGCTATTTAGGCTTGGGCCTGGGCCATGGGCTAGTAGCCTGGCTCGACCTTGTTGACGAGGGCGAGCGCGTTGCTGGTGACCTGCGCCACCTCGACGACCTTGCCGCGGATGGCGGCGCGCGTGCCAGCGTCGATGGCGCGGGAGGAGAGGCCATCGAGGCAGCTGTTCTCGTCAGTGAGCGCGGCGCTGCACCAGGTCTGCACGTTGCTGAGGTGCCACTTGAACTCGGGCGTCCCGGCCCGGGACGTCCCGGCGTCGCCCATCTCCTGCGCCGCGTCGCGGAGGTGGCCCACGCTGTCCGCCAGGTTCTCCAGGCAGTCGCGCACGGGGCCGGCAGCGGACGACGACGGCGCGCCGCCCTTCCTCGCAGCGCCCTTCTTGTGGCCGGAGCCGGAGCCGCAGAGGCGGCCCACGTAGGCCGACGCGGCGCTCGCGCGGTCCGCGCTCACGGACAGCGCGGCGCGCGCCAGCTCCCGTGGGCTCCGCGGCGGCGGGGAGCCCCCGTACGACGCCAGGCTCTGCTCGCACACCGACGGGTACTGCGTCGCGCGGCACGACTTGCGGACGAAGTCGCTCGCCGCCGGCGACGCGGCCGCCGCGGCTAGGAGCGCTGCTGCAACGGCGGCGAGCAGCAGGAGGAGGGGAGCAGCAGCAACACTGCCCGGGCGAGCCATGATTGCTGAGCTGGTGCGGCTGTGCGGCGACTGGCGAGTGTGCAGTGCAGCAGGCTCACGGAGTCACAGTGGAGAGTTTAGTTGCTTCACTTGAATGATTGAATGACTTACCTAGCTTTGTCTCCTTATATAGGGAGATTTGGAAATTTGTGCAATTGTCATAGATGATTTTTTAGAAAGAAAAACACTTTTGGAGGTAGTAGTATTATAGTATTTCTTTGATTTTGGAATTTTGCTTTTGGGCTTGGACCATCAACCATGCATGGACAGACATTGGCGATTTGATTTGACACGATCACACGAGTGGAGACATTTCTAGAACGGTCCTCATCTTGGGTGAGAATCGAATACGACGGTAAATCCGAGAGAAAAACGATGTACCATCACTGATAAGTTTAAGCGATATATAGCATTAGCTCACTTGTCACTTATATCTTCGTGCTGTAGCAACGATTTCTAATGTATAGGATCAGTGAAGATTATAGTAGTCGAGTAGCAGTGATTTGCTGGCTTTTCCACGATACTATACAGCATCAAGACCGAAGTCAGCATTATTATGACCCAGGGAAAAGCGGCATAAGTGCAGCCTACTAGCTTACACCTTGTTCGCTTGATCGTATCAGTCATGCTTATCAGCTATGATACAGTGTTTTTCTCTCACAACAAAATAGCATCAACTAGTTTATAAGCCATAGAAACGATCAAATGAAAAGTGTGTTAATTGACACTGTATCATATGAAGAAAAAGGAAGAAACATTATGCACATTTAAAACAATCTTGATTTGCAAGTAATTGCAGTGCTGGTACTCCTACAATTGCCTGAATGGTACTGAACATGGTTGGATATGGCCTAATAATGTTCGGCCCACACACACCCTCTACCCCTAGCAATTAGTAGTGCTACTACCACCATCGTAGGTTTGGCCGGCCGCACACACATGACACACCTAACGAATTTCTTCAACGCTGGGCCTGTTCGGTAGGACTGAAAAATACTATACCGGCTGATTGTTGTGAGAGAAAAATACTATTCTAACAGAATGTGAACAGTGATTCTGTGAGAAAAAAAACAAGCCAGCCGGCTGGCTTTAAGCCAGCCGAACACGCCTGCTGTTGCTCTTGTCTGAAACTGGAATTCCACCCACTTTCTGAAACTGGACGCTTTGGTGACTGCTCTTGACCTGTCTGTACCTGCCCAACAATAATGTACTACTGCTTAGCCCTTGTTTAGTTGTAGGAATTTGGATTTTGGGTTGACTGTAGCACGTTCATTTTTATTTGGCAAATAATGTTCAAACATGGACTAATTAGGCTCAAAACGTTCGTCTCGTAATTTCTCACCAAACTGTGTAATTAGTTTATCTTTTTGTCTACATTTAATGCTCCATACACGGGCTGCAAATATTCGATATAACAGGTACTGTAGTACAGTTGTCTAAATTATGTTCTGACAAACGCTGCCTCTAGTACGTGGCCTAGTCTTGGCTCCATCTCTGCATGCCGACGACGTGTACTCCACCCGGCAGGCAGTCGCGGAGTTCCCCCGGCGCCGAACTGCTTGCAACGAGGTACTGTAGCGTAGACTTTTCGAGAGAGAAACACTGTACCTCGGTTCATAAGCGGTTTATTAGAGCAGCCGATCAAGGCCAGGCCATGGTATTGTAATCCAGCATCCGTCGTTTTCAGCATCTACCAACGGCAACAGGATGTGACGGTTCGTTCGGCTGGCTGGCTGGGCTCAGCCGGACTGGCCAGCTCACTCACAGAAACACTGTTCGTTCGCTCAAATAGAACAATATTTTTTTTCACAATAATCAGTCAGAACAGTATTTTGACTTATTTTTCAGTCCTGCCGAACAGTCCGGCCTGGAGGCTTTGCAAGGGTTTGCTTCATAGTTCAGTTTGCCGGCGCCAATCACGTGAACGAACAGTGATGCAGAGAGGCCGTTACGTTGGGCATTGGGGGCGGGTCCGGGACGGGTTCTCTCTGTATGCTGAATTTCTGATTTGATTGAGAACGGAAAACCGGAAGCGTACGTGCGTCCCCTTCAGTTCAACCTCCCTGACGACGCTGCCTACAGAAAATGTTTGGCTGGGTCTGAAAAAGACAAGCCCGTGATCGTGACGGCGGCGGTGTCTATGCTAGCAGCAGTGCATATCATGAAAATAATATGTATATCAATAGGTGCTTGCGCCTGATGATCAGATAGATGTTCGGTTAGCCTTAGCCGTCCTCTATTTCTTGAAACTCAAGACGTATAGGATAGATTTTATCCTCTCTTTTCTGTTGTAATCTACACTTGTTGTGTAAGCCACCGCCGGGGGGGCTGTTCCGGTGCATATAACACGTAACCGAGACCCAGTAGAGGGCATCTCGTTCATTTCATTTCACTTACGCTACTGCCAAACCAATTGTTGCGTGGCTCAATTCGTTGCATGCTTCAAAACGAACACTGCTGCTGCTGCTGCTTGTCAAATTTGTGCTGAGGTAGTAGGCCACCTCCCTCAATCACAACCATAATTTTAGATTTCTCCTGATGAGGTGAATTTCTCCTAGTGTTTTAGCATTCAAAATTTAATATAAATTTTTCTAGTAAATGCCTCTGTTGACACAAAATGTGACGCACTGTGCCTCACACACAGCAAGCCGAAAAGCGTAGCTTCAATCGGGTTCCCGGGTGCTTCGTTATCCGGAAGCGTGCCAGTCAGTTTGACCTGAAAAAAACTAACAAGGGACAAAACAATTAAATGTCAAACCGGAACATGTCGGGTAATACCAGATAGTTCCACATATATACGACCACAAAGCCACTTACAACGACATACAGCCTATAGAGAGTCATTCGCCAATGAGTTCATAAACCGTTCAACTAATAGTAAGATGAATGCACGTGGAGACCGATTGCGAATATACGTGCATGGGAAGACATGTTTGAACAAGTGAAATTAATTATGAGTTAATGCATAACCAAGCTCGGCGATTCAAATTAATTGGGGTCCATGAAGAAGGAACGTGCAAATAAAAAAAAACGATTAAACTAATCTAAAACCTGCATCTGCCGCATACGACACCGGGTTTTGTTAAAGCTTAAACATGATTAATATGCATGAACCCATGACATGTGACAATCTAGATTAAAATAATTCAGCCATTATATGCACACTATCCGATTGCAAAGGTATTATGAAAAGCAATGATCGTTGAAGCACGAATAAAACCACAAGAGAGAAAAAAAGGCCGAACAATATCAATCTAGATTGGGCGAAGTATGTTACAAATATATATATAATGTTCCGTAACATGCAACATTGGATAACTTAATGAATCTATTTAGATTTGCCATATCTAAAAGAGCCGATAACTATCTTGCTTTCACTAAGCATATTGAGCAAACGCACGCATACGGTATCTACTCATAAACAAAGCATAAGCAAAGACTTCTTGATTGTCAAACAAAGATCCGCCAGACGACCATTGAAAACAAACAAGACTACTTGCATCACGCCTAAATCCACCGCATGATACTAAACATGATAACAAGGTTGTCGGAACTTACGGAGGTCGACGGATCGATAACTCCTCTCAAGAACTCGACGACCACGACAAAAGGACTCGAAAGTTGGCACGGGGCGGTTGTATTGATTTGGTTATGAACCCCTATTACAATGGTCGAGGGTCAATATTTATACCCTAGACAAAACACGAGTCCTAGAGGACTACGATTTACAAAGGAACCTTTAAATAAACTTGAAACTCACGATTCCTTACCCTAAACTTTTAGAGTCCTTTACTATTACAACTTTCACCTTTTCGATCGGCCTTGCTCGCCATCTTCGCTTTTTTCCGAATGGAATCACCGCCTTTCGAGTAACCGACCGCAATGCATTTAGCCGACCGCTTGCTTTGTTTGCGAATACCCTTCTTCCCGCATGTGGGTCTACCATCATCTTCCGAATCGACCAAAATCCAAAGTGTTAACACATGCCCCTCAATTTCGGGATAAAAGTTGTTTTATTCTGAAATTGACCACAAGCTCTTTCATTCTCCTAGGTCATCACCGCTCAAAACCGCAGCACGCCCCAAAATTCAAGCTTTCAAGCAAACTCGGACCTCCTTCAAATCTTCAATGGCGACCCAGATGAAATCCCGAGGTAAACTTTACTTATATTCGGCAATTTTAATTTTATCCTCCCGCTCCTCTTTTGATTTACTCCCTTTGATTTCAATCATCTTCTAAAGGAATACAAGAGCCAGATTTTGATCCCCTATGCTGCCAACCCCGACTCCTATTTCCTCGGCCCAATGGGAAATCCCGACCCTTCCGAAATTATTGAGAAGGAAACCCAAAGAATTTCTTTCAAGTCTGCAGGATTACCTCGCCAAACCGATGGCCAAACACGTTCAAGAATTGGCCATTTCCCCAATCACCGGATGGCGAATCGTATGCAGAGAATGTTTGGAGAAAAAAGCAGCAACCACTGGGAAAGTCAGGACATCAGTCATTGTCTGGAATTATCTTTAGCAGAAACACCCAGGAATGATTCCCTTTTGATAGCAGCTTCTCATTTTTGGTCTGACACTATCAATGCCTTTATCTTTGGTCATGGTATTATGACCATCACTCTAGCCGACGTATTCATGATGACTGGCTTGAATGTGTCATTGCCAGTATATCCCTATAAGTACAAGAGCAAAAGTAATCAAAGAGCCGCGATTACTGATGTGGATGGGTCAAACATATTCAGAACTACATGAATGCATCTGGCACCGTCTCTGAAAAAGATTTGAAAGCCTTCATGAATATGTGGCTATGCAGATTCATCTTCTGTGGAAAATCCAATGAACCAACCCTGAATCACATGGTAATGGTCAAGACTTAGGCTGCAGCACTTTCGAGATCCCACTAGGCAAATATCTCCTAGGGTCTGCTTTATCATATGATGCATCGATTACTCTTTAGATGCGCCAAGGTGGAGAAATCTCTTGTGTGAATGGTCC